CGTCTTCAACGTGGTTTTGTGCGTCTTATCAGCCCTTTAGTCCGGGGTGTGATACGGAGACGTTTGATGGTGCGGTTCTTGGGGCATCCTAAAGCTCAAGCTTTTGGTATTGCGTAGAAGGTGCCTTAGGGTTTTGGTTTTTCTTCTTTTTCCGAGTAGAAGTGGTCCAAGGGGAAAGTGAGAGACAAGTTGAACAACCTTGTGCTGTTTGACAAGGCCACCTATGACAAACTGTGCAAAGAAGTGCCCAACTACAAGCTCATCACGCCTGCAGTTGTCTCGGAGAGGCTGAAGATCCGAGGCTCCCTGGCTAGGGCTGCCCTCCAGGAGCTGCTCAGCAAAGGTCGGTGCTCAGAAGCGTGGAAAACCAGAAAGCTCCTTGAATTGGATGCTTTCTTTTCCTTGCTCACCTAGAGGATTTCGTGCTGTATCCAAATTACGTAACTTGGCGTGGTTTGATGAGCCACTGCCTTAGTCTGCATTTTGAAAGTGCTCCAAAGCAAGGAGCAGAGGCTCTGCTGCATTGAGTGGTGTTGCTATACTAAGAAAATGCTGCCAGAAGGACACATCTTGACTTAAAAAGCCTCGTCTAAGTGTGTGTAGTAGTGGGTACCCTGGCGTTTCCTGTTGCACGTTGTCTGCTGTGCAGCTGTAGAAGGAAGCACAACGTCCCCAGTGTCCTCCAGTACACGTGCACTCAAATAACTTCTTTTTTTGGCAGGTTTGATCAAACTGGTGTCCAAGCATCGAGCCCAAGTAATCTACACCAGAAACACGAAGGGTGGAGACGCGCCGGCCGCAGGGGAGGATGCGTGAGGAGGTGAGGCGGTGGGCTCTGCAAAGGGAGCTGGGTGGTGCTTTGTGGGGAGCTAACAAACAGCTGTACGCTGTGTAACGGACAGCTGCCATGATGCTTTGGGCAGGCCGTTTCTCCAGACGTTGCTCATACTCCGAGCAACATCCCGGCTGGCGTTACTGAAAGCATTAGCTATCCAGAATTACAGAGCAGTTTGCGATGTTTTTCCTTGTTGCCCATCAGACGAGGAAAGCCCCGTGTGCTCTCCCGTCTCTGTGGGCTGCAATGTCTTCCCTGCTCTCCCAAGGCACCGTAACAAAGCATTCTTGCTGGAACAGAGCTTCCAGGCTGCTTTGTGCTAGCGTGCTTTGACCTGGTTGTCTGATGTGGGACTTCTTGCTTTGCAGGTTCTCCGGTGACCTCGTCAACGACATGTCCTATGTAGATGCATACAATAAAATTATTGAAATAATTTTTCTTGCTTTTTCAAGAACGTGTACGCTTCATCACTGATGCATTATTGATAGTGGATTCTGGTACAGGTCACAGCTGTCTTCCTCTGCCAGCCAGTTTTTGCATTTATACGTTTTTACAAACGTACCATGAACACACTTTTATACTGTGAACAGGGAAGGAACTCTTGCATCACTCGCAGCAGCCAGTGATGTTAAACCATGTTCAGCTCTAGTAAGAGGAAAATCGAAGCCCATTTCTTGCCCTGTAGATAGGGAAGGTGCTAGTGGGATGTTTTTATTATTTAAACCCCCTCTAAACAAGCGGTGCCCACAGATCTCTTTGTACAAGGTAACAGCATGTATCAGGTCTGGTGGGGAAGCATTAATAAGCAGCTCTAAATGAGGCTTTAAGTATTTTATTTCAATTAGAAGAACTGCCCACAGCAAAGGTGTTTAAGGCCTCCGTTCTTCTACCGAGGACTAATTAGTTGTCCTTTAGGTGAGGCAAAATGAGTGAAAGTAATACAAATTAGAATGAAAACACGAGGCGCATGGCACCAGTTGCCCCAGAGTGGGCCCTTCATCTGAAAAGAGTTTCAGTTGATCTAACACAGGTAACGTTTAAAAAAAGAAAAAAAACTTTCTCAAAAATTTATTTCTTTACCAGGACGTCATGCTACATGTCAGCGTAGGACACTGGCAGCACGTGCTGTGTAAGGTAGGCTTTCTGATGCTGAAGATACGGCGGGGGCAGGAGAGCTGCCTTGCTGGCAGGGTCTGCCTTTGCCTAGCAAGCGATGCCCAGCAGCGCTGCGTGTCTGTGACAGGGGAGTGCATCTGGCACAACACCCCCTGCCAGAACAGCTTTCAGCAACGGCACTCAAGTCCGTGTTACGCTGTGGTCACCCTGCCTTCCTGGGGACTGAACGCACCTACACGGACCTACTAACTCAGAGTGCTAAACTCGGTGTAGCTGCAGCTACACTCCACCTTTCCACAGCAGTCAGAGCTTGGTTTCTGCAGTGCTCCTCTTCATCACTTTTTTCTCTTCTTTTCCCCCGATTCCGTTCTAAACTGATGCCTGAAAGAGAGCGCGGATCAGGATGCAGCAGCCTTAGGAAAGACGCAATGAATGCTGCCTCATCTAACAAGTACGGCAGTGCCATGCAGAGTGTTTTAGAGCGGAAGCTCGCCTCGATTATTTTTTTTTTTATCATCTCAGTGACCTGTAGCACGCTCTTCAGCTAGCTGACAAGAGTTTTCTAGTGTATTAAAAGGCGCCCACGGGTTGGGGCTGAAAGGTGAGCCAGACACCCCTGCGCTCGTGGCCTCTGCAGCTGTGACCGCGTTTCGCCTCGCAAGTCGCACGTGCCCTGCTCCAGGACAGGAGCGATGCTCTGCCAGGGTCAAGTGCTGCGTGGCACAACTTCCGTGCGCGAAGACGCGTCCTTACGCTCGCTGCTACTGCCAAGCCAACTGTGTGAGCAGCTTGCGTGGAAGGAAGCTGAAAACCTTCTGCTCATCATCAGCCCGTGCTGTCCCCCATCTCACCTGGACTGCCACCTCCTGCCGTGATTCCAAACCCGCCCGAAGGAGGGGAGCCAGCTGTCTCCTGTCTGAGAGGTATGGTCAAAGTTGGCACCGACGCGCTCTGCCGGGAGCTTTTTCAGCTTCTGTTTCTCCTCTAAAAAATATTTGGATCAGCGCAAGTTTTTCAAATTGCTTTAGTTTCTTTAGCGCGCGGAAGTGAATGTAAGGTTAACTGAAACATGTACAAGCCGCTCACTTTGTTTGAGAAATTCCTCATATGAAGGTCCAATTTGTTGTTGACTTCCATCCTCCTCCTCTGTTAGCCACGGAGGTTTTGCTCCTAAAAGTCAGAGGGGAAAATGTATTTAGCCAGGGAAGTTAACCTAAATGTGAGGTAGGGAAAAGCATCCG